GTGTATTAAGGGGTGGCTTCCATTCAGGGGCAAGCACTGTATCCCCCACAGAATGTAACTTCCCATTAGAAACGATGGGCCCAGGGCCAGGTGCAGCGGCTCACGCCTGTAATCCCAGCCCCGTGGAGGCCCGGACAGAAGGACAACCACAACTGCGTGGTTTCTAATGGGGTTCAGGTGTGCACTACCACACCTCCTAATCTAAGAGAGTTTTTTGTAGAGACAGGGTTTTGTCACGTTGTCCACGCTGGTCTCCAACTCCTGACCTCAAGGGATCCGCCTGCCTCGGCCTCCCAAAGTGCTGGGATTACAAGCATGAGCCACTGAGCTGAACCAGAATAAACATTTTTTTATTTTTATTCTTATTTTTTTTTTTAATTAATTTTCTTCCCAGGAAAGTTCTTTGCAAATAAACATTTAAAGTGAACACGAGAACACAATTTGTTTCCCAATTCAGATCACATGCTGCGCCATAAACCAAGGCTCAATTAATTTAAAATACTTTAAGTGGTAGAGACTGTGTTGTCCTTTCTCCTTCTTTCCTTTCTTTCCTCCCTCCCTCCCTCCTTCCTTTCTCATGGATTCTTGCTCTGTCGCCACGCTGAGTGCAGTGGCGTGATCTCGGCTCACTGCAAGCTCCACCTCCCGGGTTCAAGTGATTCTCCTGTCTCAGCCTCGGGACTAGCTGGGATTACAGGTGCCTGCCACCATGCCTGGCTAATTTTTGTAATTTTAGTAGAGATGGGGTTTCACCATGTTGGCCAGGATGACCTCAAACTCCCTTAACCTCATGATCCACCTACCTTGGCCTCCCCAAATGCTGGGATTACAGGCAGGAGCCACTGTGCCTGGCCTACTTATTTATTTTCAGACAAGCTTTTGCCCTTGTCGACCATGCTGGAGTGCAATGGCTCAATCTCGGCTCACTGCAACCTCCGCCTCCAGGGTTCAAGCCATGCCCCTGCCTCTGCCGTCTGAGTAGCTGGGATTACAGGTGCCTGCCACCATGCACAGCTAATTTGTATTTCTAGTAGAGATGGGGTTTCACTATGTTGGCCAGGCTGCTCTCAAACTCCTGACCTCAGGTAATCCACCCACGTAGGCCTCCCAAAAAGAATGTCTTGTCTGACCACAGTGGAGTTAAGTTAGACATTTATAACAATAACGTATCTAGAAATCAACATCATGGCCGGACACGGTGGCTCACACCTATAATCCCAGCACTTTCGGGAGGCTGAGGCTGGCAGATCATGAGGTCAGCAGATCGAGACCATCCTGGCCAACACGGTGAAACCCCATCTCTACTAAAAATACAAAAAACTTGGCTGGCTGTGGTGGCACGTACCTGTAATTCTAGCTGCTTGGGAGGCTGAAGCAGGAAAATTGCTTGAACTGGGGAGGCAAAGGTTGCCGTGAGCTGAGATCACAGCACTACCCTCCAGCCTGGGGGACAGAGCGGGATTCCATCTCCAATAAATAAATACAAAAATAAATAAAGATGATTTAAGCACCCTGGCTTCTGGCTCACAGGTCATGGGGAATAAAGTGTGGAAGCCTGAAATTTGCCCTTAAATAAAAGCCACCCCCTGTTACACATGACAGAAATTATGAAGTCTATCAAAAGGTGGCAACGTTTAGGCCGGGCGAGGTGGCTGATACCCGTAAACCCAGCACTTTGGGAGGCCGACGCGGGTGGATCACCTGAGCTCAGGAGTTCGAGACCAGCCTGAACGACCTGGCAAAACGCTGTGTCTTCTAAAAATACAAAAACTAGCCAGGCGTGGTGACGTGCACCTGTAGTCTCAGCTACTCGGGAGGCTGAGGCAGGAGCATCACTTGTACCCGGGAGGCGCAGGTTGCAGTGAGCTGAGATTGTGCCACTGCACTCAGCCTGGGCAACAAGAGGGAAA